TCACTTTATCAAGTGTTTAGCTCACTCAACCAGGGTCACTAATCCAGTGTTGTAGTCACTCAGTCAAGTTCACTCAACCAGGGTCACTAATCCAAAATCTGTAGTAAAAGTGTGTAGGTCTCTGAGCAGGGTTGTATCATCCTTATTTGCAATTCCTACTGTTTCTTAAATACCGATAGTAAGAATATAATTTTAATCCTATTACTAATTCACACATTTTCCTTCGCCAGGCATGTTTTACAGTTTTATCTCAGTATTTAAATATTAAATCTTTCTCACTGCCTCAGTTTTAGTTTTTTAATCAGCTGTGCATGGCCTTTTCTTTATATCGATATAGATATTTCAAGATAACCTTTGACCTGATAAGATGTGTATGATTTTGATAATCAACAAAGTAAGCGAAAAAAAAAATAACTATTTTATTTTGAAAATTAATTTGAAGTAGAGGCAGTGAGAATTTTCCATCGTTTCTCGCTCTTTATTTGTAGGTGCTCTCTGTCTGCTTTCTTCGACTGTTCAGTGTATTGTGAACGTGTGTGTGCTGTATGCGTTGTAATGAGGTAACAGCTGCTAGGCAACTAAAAGTCAGTTTCTGATGAGCATGATGCTTTATTGTTTGTTGTGAAAACTTAAAATAATGCATTGTGTGTGTGTGATGTATATTTTTTGACATTAAAATATTCATCTTGTGTGGATAGTGAAAATAAAAGATTCTACTGTGTACCCCCCCTCACTGGGTTAAGGGTCATAGGTTACCATTGATTAACATATTACAGGTTATATGCTTATCATTTGTTTATTGAAGATATCAGAGAACCATTCGTTGTTTATGGTGACACATAATATATACAGTTTATTTTTGTTGTGTTTTTGTCAACACAAGACCAATTACACAGTATTTGTGATAATGCATTGCCGGTATATAAGCCTAGTGGTGTAGTCAATCATTTAAAACGTGGCATATGAAATGCAAGTCATTTGTTAACTTGGTGCCAATTCTCGCTTCATTTAATGACAAATTTCTAAAGATACAATTGCAAACTGTTACCCAGTTTTAGTGAAACTGTTTCCAATATTAATGTAATATGAGTCACATATTGAAAATACAGAGTAATACATTTATAAGTCTTATTGCAATATTGATTTGCGCAATACGACCTTTCACCACCTATGCTCACAATCAAACATTGTATATTTCCTATGCATCTGTTTTAATGTTTGACACCCTCAAAGCATTTACAGTAAAGATGTGCTTAATAAATACTGTACTTCTCCCATGTATAACACTCCTACCCCCTCATTCCAGCCCCACTCTACCCCCTCATTCCAGCCCCACTCTACCCCCTCATTCCAGCCCCACTCCTACCCCCTCATTCCAGCCCCACTCCAACCCCCTCATTCCAGCCCCACTCCTACCCCCTCATTCCAGCCCCCTCATTCCAGCCCCACTCCTACCCCCTCATTCCAGCCCCACTCCAACCCCCTCATTCCAGCCCCACTCCAACCCCCTAATTCCAGCCCCACTCCAACCCCCTCATTCCAGCCGCACTCCAACCCCCTCATTCCAGCCCCACTCCAACCCCTTAACTCCAGCCCCACGCCAACCCCCTAATTCCAGCCCCACTCCTACCCCCTCAT